TGGCAAGTTGGCCACGGCGAGTTTTCTCGTGGCAAGTTGGCCACGGCAAATTTTCTCGTGGCAAGTTGGCCACAGCAAATTTTCTCGTGGCAAGTTGGCCACGGCAAATTTTCACGTGGCACGTTGGCCACGGCAAATTTTCTCGTGGCAAGTTGGCAAGTTTTCTTGTGGCAAATTGCCCACGGCAAGTTTTCTCGTGGCAAGTTGGCTGCAGCGAGTTGGTTGAACCCTTGAATCTTTCTCTCCCACCTCCCAACAGCTGTAACAACCTGTCCCCAGAGATTTGGCCTGGTTGCCATATATTAAAGACCAAGAAACTGCTAGAGCATTAATAAAAGTCTGTAATGGTCTTTTCACCAGGAAAACAAAACAAAACATGAATCCATCCAGGAACCAGTTAACCGATAAACCAAGAGAAGATAACCCAGGGGCAATCAACCTTAACTTTTTAACTACAAGGACCACAATCAACCCCCACTGTTCCTCTGACCATGGAAAAAAAGATCAGGCAAGGAAGTCCAAGGGAAAAGCTTTCCTCCAACCCATTGTATAGGTCCTTCAGAATGGCCAACGGAAGGGCCCAGATCTGCTTAAGTGCATGGGATTAAATTTGGAACATGGACGGCACCCTTTCACACATCACTTTGTGTAGGTGTCCAGTTAAGGTGGTCCTTAGTGCATCACCTTAGAAAGCGGGAATGTGAGAGGCAAGTGTACTTCACAACTTGGCTGCTCACAACAACGTTTATCTTCCCCAGCTTTGACTAACAAGCATACCAAACATCCTGCGGACGGCCAATAATTTAATAAAATCAGTTAATACTGCTCAATAAATACATAAAGCGTATTTACTTGCCATTTAGGAAACACAAAATCTAGAACTTCGGGCCAAGTTAAGGATGATTGTCCCTTGATTATCTAAGGCAGATCTGTCTGGTGGTCTTGTTTTTTTTTTTTTTACTTTTTCTTTACGTAAAGCAATCACATAAAAATAGTTATAAATAGAAAAAATTTCAAAGGATTTCCCACCCTTGCTACCACATCCTTCCCCCATTCCATTGTTCAGGAAATGTAACCGAAAAGGGGAAAAAAAGCAAGAGGGATTTTGTTTGTTTGTTGCATCCAGTTCTTGTGGATTTTTTACAGTCTTCAGAATCTTTGGATATTTTACAAGGACTCCGGGTTGGATAACCAGCCCAAAAAAAAGGAGAATAAAGAAAAGTCAAAATCCAAAACGACACCCTCCCTCCCCAAAACAATTAAGATGTAAAACAGTCACTTGGAAAGATAATAAACCAAGAACATTGAAGTCTGCTGCTGGAAATTCCGTTTTTCTTCCCTGCGTTTGTTGGAGCAAAGAAGAGGTGTCTTTGGAGGTGTTTTGAAAAAAAGTTCCCACGGGAGCTTAATTTTCAAGACAGTCCTTTTATAAAGGGAAAATACGTCCTTCCTTCTTGACTGGGAACCAATGCAGTCCTGGAGAACGGGGTCTGTAGGTACAGAAAAGAAAAACAAATACTCTTTAATAGTATTTCCTCCCATTCGTCTCTGTTAGCTGTATTTCTACACCACTCGTTTCCGAAGGCTCTGAGCAGCTAACGTTCAAAAAGATCACAAAGAACCCGTCCATCAGATTAAATCCACCCTAAAAATTCAATTAAAAATCTCAAGGGATTAAAGTGTGCCTAAGCACTGCACCCCCAACCTTTTAGAGTATGCTCGCCACTTGGTCTGGATGGAAAAGTTGCGTCTTGCGTGCCTGTTCTTATGAACGCAGGAAGGAAGGGGTAGACTGGAACGCCATAGGGAGGTGGGGTCCCCTAACATGGAGCCAGCAGCCTGGTCCTCCAAAGTAGCACTTTATAAAGTAGCACTTTATAAAGCTTTAGGAATAGTAAAACCTTAGTATTGGTGAAAACCTTGGTATTATTAACTAACTAGCTCTACACCCGTGCTCCGCTACAAAACTACGTGACCGGGCTTAGTTTTTGGGAGAGGAAAATAAGGGAGAAAAAATTCTGCCCTCTGCCTACCAGCATCCATCGGTATTCACCTGGCTAGCGTCCTGTCAGTGTGTGAGAGTTGAGGGCTGTTTGGAAACCGAAACAGTATTTGCTGTGTGAGCAAGGAGACAGCAAGGAGCCTGGGCGTGGCTTAGCTCAACTGTTCTGCCCTAAAGCTGGTGGCTGCTGTGAAACTGAAACTCCGCTCCTCTGCTTGTGTTTTGCATTTGGAACAGATTTCTTTTCAGGTGGGGAGGGGGAGTAGAACTCCTTAGCATCAGAGCATGTTAATAATAATAATACAGGAAATACTAACGCTCTGATGGTCATTTTGAAAAATCCTCTTAGTGAGCACCTAGAAGCCAAGAGGAACGTACGTGCCGAATTTCAAGCTTGTAGGCTTTACAGTTCTGGAGATTTTGTGATGATGCATGAGTGGCATTTCGCTTTTATTTATGTATATAGTTATATGGAAGGGAAGAGATTCGAACAAGGACAACTTTAAGACCTGTGGCCTTCGACTCCCAGAATTCCCCAGCCAGCCATGTTGGGCACCTAGGTAGTTGGAAACTACCGAGAACCAGTGTAATTCCCAAAATTGGGGTGTGTGTGTATGGCTTGGAGCAGAGGCCTCCAACCTTGGCAACTTTAAGCCTAGTGGACTTCAACTCCCAGAATTCTGGGAGTTAAAGTCCATCAGCTTAAAGTTGCCAAGGTTGGAGACCCCTGGCTTAGAGCAAGGCTGGCGAGGGAATCCTGGGAGCCGAAGCCCACACGTCTTGAAGATACCAAGGTTGGACACCTCTTGGATTAGAAGATCATCTCCAACTCCTTCTAGCCGATAGCAACACCTCCTTCCCTCATCTGAGGGGGATGTCTTTCCCCATTTCCTAGCAGAATTGTACTTGTACCCCAAACTCTTGTACCCCAAACCCATTCACAGTAGTCTGGGCAAGTTGCGTTCTATAACTTAAAAGCTGGGATATTTTTCCCCCTCAACTTTTCCTAGCAAAGAAAGCGTTACCTACCCAACCCATCCCTCGAAGAGAAGGCAACTCAGTTGCTAGATTCAGAGAGAGAGGCCAAGGGGTTGAGGGCGGCCAGTCCATTGAACCCCGAGCCCCAGGGATCCGGGAGGGAGAAATACGGCCGCGCCGAGAGGCCCTCGCCGTGGCTCAGGGCAAAGGCAAAGAGGCCTCCGTTCCGATCCAGGTCCAGGTGTGTCCGCCCAAAGAGCTTCATCTGGGTCTCCTCCAACTGGTTCTCCAGTTCCTGCAGGTTCAAGCCATTCTTGGCCGCTTCCATGAAGGGGCTGGGGCCCGGGAGGCACAGCCCGGGGCCGCCCAAGTGGCCGCTCATGTCTTCCAATGCTGGGGGCACCAGGAAGCTCTTGTCGTCCGGTTGTCCGGTCGGGGCGAAGAGCAAGCTGGCCGTTCTCCAGGGTGCCGACTTGCGTCCTCTTCGGGGCCGGGAGATCCGGCAGCTCTGGCGCTTGATGTGGCGGTGCAGGTGATCCGAGCGGGTGAAGCTCTTGTAGCAGAACTTGCACTGGTAGGGACGGATCCCGGTGTGGATCCGCATGTGGTTCTTCAGGTCGTAGTTGTGGACGAAGCGGGCGCTGCAGTGGATGCAGAGGTACGGCCTTTCCCCTGTGTGCTTCCGCATGTGGATCTTCAGCTTGTCTTGCCTGGCCAAAGGAGAAACAAGGGTTAACTAGGGAGGGGATCGCCCAAGCACAGAGTTGAAAGGTCACCGGGATGAGACAAGGAAGGGGCAAACTCCCTCCTGAAGTCCTCATGGACACAGGAAAAGTGTTGAATTTATATTTTACCAACAAAGAAATTGTCAAGGTGATAATTTAAAAGCTGACCAGCTGATTCCACGAAAGGAATCAGTCAGCAGGATTTTTGGCTGTTATCCCTTTAAGAGCCTGTGTAATAAGAGGAGGGCTTGCTGGAGTGTTTGTTCGTTCATCAAGTTTCTTCCCTGCTGACTGTAATTGCAGTTTGTTTAGATCAAGAGTCTTCAAACCTGGCAAGTTTTAAGATTTGTGGACTTCAACTCCCAGAATTCCTGAGCTATTCTGGGATTCTGGGAGTTGAAGCCCACAAGTCTTAAAGCTGTCCAGTTTGAAGGCCCCTGGTTTAAATGCTGCTTGTAGCACATATATGTATAGTATTCCTATATTCCCATTGTAGATAAAAATCATTATTTGATACGAGCCACTGTTGGCTGTACTTGCTCCTGGGTTGACCCATGGGATAGATCTGTGTACACTCTGACAGAAATAAAGGTAAAATAGAAATCCAACACAAAAATAAGTTTGCCCCGAAAGTGACTGCCTGCGAGGCCTCCTGGACTGGGGCTGAAAGTGGAAGCAGTATGCTCCGTCCCATATTTGGGTAGGCCACATTGCCCTGACAGACTGGAAAAACCTGGAAAAAACACACATGACAGTGATTTTTCAGGCCCCAAAACAGAAGGCCTTACCTTCTGCTAGAGCAGGGATGTCAAACTCAATTTTATTGAGGGCCGCATCAGGGTTGTGTTTCACCTTGGGGGGCTGGGGTCGGCTTGGCCAGCTTGACGTCATTTGTGTGTTGGCACCAGTGGCGGCCTGAGTGTTCTGCCAGTGAAAACGGGAGTCCCGAGTTCCGCTCTTGGCTGCAATGGCCTCCTGCAACCCTCTGCCAGCAAAAATGGAGCTCGGGAAAAGCTCCATTTTCACTGACAGAGGCACTGAGGGCTGGCCCTTCGCTGTTTCCAGGGTGGTCCTGCAGGCTCGATCTCAGCACCCCATAGGCCAAATCTTGCCCATGGGCCTTGAGTTTGATACCCTGTGCTAGATTGTTTTTCTATGGGTGGTCTCCCATCCAGATAATAATAATAATTATAATCATAATAATCTCTAATGATCTAAGTGCTAGAGCCCACTGTAACTACATAGCCAAAAAGGTATTAAGAGTTGTTAACCTAATCCTACGTAGCTTTTTCTCCGGTAATATCACACTACTAACTAGAGCATACAAAACATTTGCTAGACCAATACTTGAATACAGCTCATCAGTCTGGAACCCACATTTCGTATCTGATATTAGCACAGTTGAGAAAGTCCAGAAATATTTCACAAGAAGAGTTCTCCACTCCTCCACTCCTCGTTGCAGAATACCTTATGCCACCAGACTTGAAATTCTAGACCTAGACAACCTAGAACTATGCTGCCTTCAGTCCAATCTTAGTATAGTATATAAAATCATACATTGCAATGTCCTACCTGTCAATGAATACTTTAGCATCAACCATAACAATACAAGAGCACACAATAGATACAAACTCAAGGTTAACCACACCAAACTCAATTGCAGGAAATACGACTTCAGCAACAGAGTGGTCAATGTCCGGAATACTCTACCTGACTCTGTGGTTTCTTCCCCAAACCCCAAAACTTTAACCTTAGACTGTCTACTATTGACCTCACCCCTTTCCTAAGAGGTCTGTTGGAGGCGTGCATAAGCGCACCAACATGCCCATCGTCCCTGTCCTATTGTTTCTTTTTTATTTTTCTTATACGTATCCATTTCATGTATTCATAACTATGTTTATACTTATACCTGTTATCTTATGATCGCTTGGCAAAATAAATAAATAAATAAAAATTAAAAAAAATCAAAATAAAATAAAATAAAATAAAATAAATAAAAAAAATAAATAATAGCCCAGCCCAATTCTGCTTCTCGAGGGCAGCATTCCCTGACTTACGTCCACAACAGAGCCTGAAATTTCTGTTGGTAAGTGAGACAGTTGTTAAAAGTGAGCTTTGTTCCACTTTACAACTTATCTGGCCTTGGTTATTAAGAGAACCCCTGAGGTTGTTAAGGGAGTAACAGAACTGTTAAGTGAACCTGGCTTCCCCATGGACTCGGCTTGTCAGAAGGCCACAAAAGGGAACCTCGTGATCTTGGGACACCGCAACCATCATAATCATGAGTCAGTTGCCAAGAGTCTGAATTTTGATCACGTGACCTTGGGGACGCTTCATGTGTGAAAAATGGTCAAAGGTCCCCTTTTTTCAGGGCCACTGTAACTTTGAACAGTCACTAAATGAACTGTTGTAAGTCAAGGACTACCTGTATTGATACCTACCTGAGATTAGGGAAGGGGCTGATCACTCTCGTTGACCCAAGATAGTAATAGCTTCCCAGTGCTTTTACAGCCCTCTCTAAGAGGTTTACAGAGTCAGCCTACTGCCCCCCAACAATCTGGGTCCTCATTTTAGCCACCTCAGCAGGAAAGAAGGCTGAGTCAACCCTGAGCCAGTGAGAATCGAATTGCCGAACGGCAGTCAGCAAAAGTAGCCTGCAGTACCGCATTCTAACCACTGCGCCACCACAGCTCATAAAATTATCTTTCCTCTCTACACAACGTTTCTCAACCTTTGGCCGCTTTCAGACATGTGGACTTCAACTCCTAGAATTCTCCAGCCAGCCATACTGTCTAGGGAATTCTGGGAGTTGAAGTCGACCAATTTTAAAATAGAATTCTTTATTGGCCAAGTGTGGTTGGACACACAAGGAATTTGTCTTGTGCAAATACTCTCAGTATACATAAAAGAAAAGGTACCTTCGTCAAGAATGATAAGGTACAACGCTTAATGATAGTCATAGGGTACAATAAGCAATCAAATCATACAACAGGCGAGATTCTTAAGAAAGGAAATCTCCTTTGACCCGAGCTTAACTGCTAACATTTCCTGGACACGTCTATGTAGTCATCTGGCTTACCAATGCCTTCTTGCTAAATTTCCTTTTTCTAAAAAGAATTTTCAGCCTGGCCAACATCCTTCGCCTCCTTAGTCCTAGGTTGCTTCTCTTCTTGGTTAGTTTCCATCTGTTGTTTCTCATCCTGCCCTCAGGTGCTTTGGAGAATAGCTTGACTCCCTCTTCTTTGGGGCAGCCCCTGAATATGGCAGTTGCCCAATGCCCAAATTTTGATCATGTGACCATGGGGAGGCTGCAGTAATCCAAAGTACGAGGACCAGTCGTAAGTCACCTTTTTCAGCACTATTGTAACTTCAAACGGACACTAAACGAATTGAAGACTATATCCCACTTTTCTTAATGAGTTGGAATAGGCGACAAGGGGGCATTGGTGCTCTCTCAGAGCTCGCTTGTTTTCTTGCAGATGTTTCATTACCAAACTAGGTAACCTCATCAGTGCTAATTTAGGAGGTGGTGATGTTACTTAGTTTGGGTAGTGAAACATCTGCAAGAAAACCACCAAGCTCAGAGAGCACCAAGGACCCTTCATGTCAACCCTGAGCTACGAATATTCTCCTTTGATAATAGATGCAGGAGGGAAATCATCCTTGCTTTTCTCTAAGATGGAATCCATAGTGCAAACAGCTGGTTGGATGTCTCAAAGGTGGTTTTTCAGGAGGCAGCTGGTCTTGTTTCTTGAAAGTCCAGTTGCCTCCTTAAAAAGCACCTTTGGGGGAACCATGACCTGAGAATTCCTCCATTCCATGGGGAACCAGGCTAGCTCCCATGTCTAAATCCTGCTTAAGCTGTTTCTCAGGTATTCACAGGAACACAGTGCACAAAAGGAAGTCTCTTCCAGGGCAAACACTCAGCTATCCTGGAAATGCTGCCTTCCAGAGAGGCTGGACTTCAACTCCCATCATCCCCTGGCTAGTCTAGTGAAGAGAAGGACCAGGGGAGACAGACCAGAGCAGTCTTCCAATATTTGAGGGGCTGCCACAGAGAGGAGCGAGGAGTCAAGCTATTTTCCAAGGCCAAACAAGGAATAAAGGATGGAAACTGATCAAATAGAGATTCAACCTAGAAATAAGGAGAAATTTTTTGACAGAGAGAGCAATCAACCAATGGAACAGAAGTTGTGGGTGCGTCATCACTTGAGGCTTTCAAGAAGAGACTGGACTGCCATCTGTCAGAAATGGTGTAGGGTCTCCCGCTTGGGCGGGGGGGGAGGAGGGGTTGGACTAAATGACCTACAAGGTCCCTTCCAACTCTGTTAATCTGTATCTGTATCTACCAAACAGGCTGAGAACTGAAGCAGCAGGGAGTGCCCGTGGCCAGCAGATGGCAGCACAAGCCCACATTGTGCAAGGAGTCGGGGTCCCAAAGCAGAACACTAGGAAGTTGGTTCTTGGCTTCACTGGATGCTATCACAACAACCCAGGAAGTCAGACCAAGACTTTTGATCTTGCCTTTCAATTCAAATATAACCCATGTGGATTTGGGTAACTCACTAAAAGCTAAATTCTCCTCCAGTCTGGATCCAGGAGCTGGCTTTAAGGATTTGTCAAAAGTTTTAGCCAGTTTTATGTACTCCACTCCTCTGCTCGCAATAATACCTTATGCTACCAGGGTTGAAATTTTGGACCTGGACAACCTAGAACTACGCCGCCTACGGTCTGATCTAAGCTTAGTACACAAAATTGTCTGCTATCTGACAACGACTACTTCAGCTTCAACCGCAATAACACAAGGGGCAAACATTAGATACAACTCAAAGGAAATCGCTCCAAACTCGATTGCAGAAAATACGACTTCAGCAACGGAGTGGTCAATGCCTGGAACTCACTACCTGACTCTCTTGTTACATCCTCAAACCCCCAAAAACTTTAACCTTAAACTGTCTACCATGAGCCTCCTCACCCCATTCCTAAGAGGTCCGTAAAGGGGGCGTGCATAAGCACACCAGCGTGCCTACCATCCCTGTATGGCACTGGAAAAAAAGAGACCTATGACCATTTTTCACACTTATGACCACTGCAGCATCCCCATGGTCATGTGATTTATAGTCGGATGCTTGACAACTGGCTCATATTTATGACGGTTGCAATGTCCTGGGGTCACGTGAGCCCCTTTTGCAACCTTCTGACAAGCAAAGTCAATCGGATTCGCTTAACAACCGTGTTACTAATTTAACAATTGCGATGATTCACTTAACAAATGCGGCAAGAAAAGTTGCTAAATGGAGCAAAACTCAATAAATTTCTCACTCACTTAGCAACATAAATTTTGGCCTCAATTGTGGTCATAAGTTGAAGACTATCTGTATCTGTGTCATCCATCCATCACCCACCCATCGATCCATCATCCACCCATCTGGCCATCATCAATCTGTCACTACCCATCCATCCATCATTCATCCACCCACCTGTCCATCATTCATCCATCTGTCTATCTTCCATCCATCTATCCATCATCCATCCAACCATCCTCCATCCATCCATCCATCCATCCATCCATCCATCATCTATCCATCTATCATCCATTCGTTCACCATCCATCCATCCAACCATCCTCCCTCCATCCATCCATCCTCATCCATCTGTCATCTATCCATCATCTATCCATCTATCATTCATTCGTCCACCATCCATCCATCCATCTATCATCCATCCATCCATCCATCATCTATCCGTCTATCATCATTCGTTTACCATCCATCCATCATCCATCCATCCATCCGTCTTTCATCCATCCATCCATCATCTATCCATCCATTCATCCACCATCCATCTATCCATCTATCATCATTCGTTTACCATCCATCCATCCATCATCCATCTATCATCCATCATCCACCCGCCTGTCATCTATCCATCTATCATCCATTTGTCCACCATCCATCCATCCACCATCCATCCATCCATCCATCCATCATCTATCCATCCATTCATCCACCATCCATCCATCCATCTATCATCCATCATCCACCCGTCTGTCATCCATCCATCATCCATCTATCCATCTATCATCCATTTGTCCACCATCCATCCATCCATCGTCCACCCGTCTGTCATCCACCCATCATCCATCTATCATCCATCATCCACCTGTCTGTCATCCATCCATCATCTATCCATCTATCATCCATTTGTCCACCATCCATCCATCCATCCATCCATCCATCAATCCATCCGTCTATCCATCCATCCATCCATCCATCCATCCATCTGTCTATCATCCATCCATCCATCCATCCACCCACCCTCCCTCCCTCCCTCCAAGCAGGTTTACCAGAAGTTCAAAAGCCTGCAGACCTGGTGAACCGGACTTCGCAGATGTTGCACATGTACGGCTTCTCCCCCGTGTGGGTCCTCATGTGCCGTGGGAGCTTCCCGGCCCCCATGATGATTTTGTTGCAAATGGGGCACTGCTGGGACGCTTTGGGTTTGATCTTCCTTTCTTCCGGCCAGCGAGGGAAGACTCGGCCAAAGTGGGCGTTGCTCAGGAAGTTCAGGTAGGCGCTGTAATCGTTTTCGGCCTTGATGTGCCCAAAGGGGGCTGTCGCAGCGTTGGCAAACACGTCCTTGAAGAGGCTGTTGGGGAAAGGTGTGGGCAGGGGCTCCTCCTTCTCCTCTTCCTTGATCTTCTGCTTCTTGATCACCAGGTCCAAGGGGGTGTTGTCCACCTGCGGCTCTTCCACTGGGGCAAAGGGGCCGAAGTCTCCGTTCCATAGATGGGGGAAGAGCTCCGGCATGAAGGGAGACAGGACCGGCCTGCGTTCGGGAAGGCTCACTTTAGGATACAGGTTCTCCCTTAAGAGGGATTCAATGGAGAAGTCTCGGATGACCCCAAGGGAACCACTGGAGCTGCTGGATGGGAAACGGGTGGAGAAGACATCCGTGGCCTCTTGGAAAGGTTCCTCAGGAAGGTCTGGCTTAGAAGGACTTTGGTGGCAACTGAGATCTTGAGCATCCAATAGATTCCGATTGGCGAAGTCAACTGGTTCTTCTTCCTCTTCCTCCTCTTCTTCCTCCTCCTCTTCTTCTTCTTCTTCCTCCTCCTCCTTCCCGTCTTCCACTGCTTCCCCAGGCTGTATTATTTCGAGGCAGACGTTGATCACACACTGGATCTCCAACATCTTGGCTGCGTTGAGGATGTGCTTGACGTTCGCCGTGGTGATGGTCAGAGTTGAGGTGTAGGCAAACTCAAGGATGGCCGAAAGGGCTTCGGGCTGGACGAAGTCGATCTCGTAGATGTAGGGCTGGTCAGCTAAAGTGCCGGCCGTGAAGAGTTTTTTAAAATACTGGCTACAAGCAGCCAGCACGGACTTGTGGGTTCGGTATTCCTGATCTTGGACCAGGAGAATCACGTCGCAGAGAAGGCCATCGTTCCGCTGCTCGTTGAGTCCACAGAGGACTTCGCTGCTGTGGTTTGGGAAGGGGATCCCAATGAGGTCCTCAATGCCATTGGCCATATTCTCCTGTGGAACCCTAGAAAGAGATACACAAACAGAGACGTAAGCCAAGCTCACTTACTTTGCTATTGGTGGCGCAGCAGTTGGAATGCCGTGTGGCACGCTAACTCGGTCAACTGTCAGCAGTTCGATCCTAACAGGCCCAAGGTTGACTGGGCTTTCCATCCTTCCGAGGTCGATAAAATGAGGACCCAGATTGCTGGGGGCAATAGGGTGATTCTGTAAAACCCTCAGAGAGGGTTGTAGAGCACTGGGAAGTGGTATATAAGTCTGAGTGCTTAGGAAGGAAGGAAGAAAGGAAGGAAGGAAGGAAGGGAGGGAAGAAGGGAGGGAAGGAAGAAAGGGGGAAGGAAGGAAGGAAGGAAGGAAGGAAGGAAGGAAGGAAGGAAGGAGTTGTAAAGCACTGTGAAGCAGTATATAAATCTAAGCACTACTGCTATTACTTTCAGCCAGAAAAGCTACTGCTTTGCTAATGGAGAAATCTCTCCAACAACCTGAATAGAGAAGATTTCATCCAACTCATTCCCCACAATCCAACCACCGCATACAGCACAGCGTGGAGCCCAGCATCACACTTGGTTGCCCCAAACCATGACTGTGATTCCTGGATTCCCTCCAGCTGTTGACATTAAATCATTGCATTTAAGATGAGAGAAGGGGAGCATTAAGAAATAACATGAAGAATCCAGGTAGCTGCAAACCATGTAATTTAAATCAAATCAACCGGCATTGTTCTTTTCATTTCACCTGTTCTTTGGGAACGAGGCCTTTCGGCGTTTTTGGAACCCAGAACGCTGCCGATGCCAAAAGAACTGAGGAGGAAAACTAATATAATAACAGGACAGACACAGACTTCAGAGGTTAATTAGGACTGCAGAAAAAAAAACAATTACTACCAACCTGCCTTCCATTGAGGACCTGTGTACTGCACGAGTCAAAAAGAAGGCTGTGAAAATATCTACAGACCCCTCACATCCCGGACATAAACTGTTTCAACTCCTTCCCTCAAAACGATGCTATAGAGCGCTGCACAGTGGAACAACCAGACACAAGAACAGTTTTTCCCCGAATGCCATCACTCTGCTAAACAAATAATTCCCTCAACACTGTCCAACTATTTACGAAGTCTGCACTACTATTACTATTAATCTTCTCATCACTCTTTATCGCCCATCCCCTCCCACTTGTGACTGTAGGACTGTAACTTTGTCCCTTGTATCCTTACGATTTATATTGACTGTTTCCTAGTATGATTTGATTGTTGATTGTACCCTATGACTGTCATTAAGTGTTGTACCTGGTGATTCTTGACTCTTGATGGATGTCTCTTTTCTTCTATGTACACTGAGTATTTGGACCAAGACAAATTCCCTGTTTGCCCAATCACACTTGGCCAAGAAAGAATTCTATTCTATTCTATTCTATTCTATTCTATTCTATTCTATTCTAT